AATTTATAAATTATCAAGGGCTCATGAGGGAGGGGGGAGCGGGGAGGGAGGGGGAAAAATGAGGACCTGATGCCTGGGACTTAAGTGGAGAGCAAATGTTTTGAGAATGATGAGGGCAATGAATGTACAAATGCGCTTTACACTATTGATGTAAGTTTGGATTGTGATAAGAGTTGTATGAGCCCCTAATAAAACGATTTAAAAAAAGACTATTTAAATGCGCATAACAGAGTACATTTTACCAATTCTGAACATTTTCAGACAAAAAGTACACTGGTTCCCCTTGTTATTTGCATGCAGACCTAGATTGAAACCCTTTTTGCGTGAAAGGTCTTTGTTAGCTCTGGAACCTGAGGGCAAGGGGAGGAAACTAGATATAGAGGAAAATGGAGAGAGGGTGGTACATTTTAACATAGGGACCACCAAGGTTCAGGTGAGTAGGCAGATAAGATATTTTTGGAAACCTATGGCATGATCCATTGCCTTCCAAATATGTTGGTAATATTGAGTTCCGGTTAAAAATAAAAACTGTAAACAAAAAACCAAACCAAACCCGAGATTCTCTGTTAGAATTCAGTAGGAAGTTTTAAATGGAGATGATTTAGCCTGCATCGCCCTTTGAGTGGACACAGCGAGGATCTCCTTTGAGTAAGAATGAGCTGTACTGATGTGTCCTTTTTCTTTTCAGCTACTCAGTGACTGTGCAGGAGTCATATCCACATCCCTTCGACCAAATTTACTACACCAGCTGCACCGACATTCTCAACTGGTTTAAATGCACACGGCACAGGTAATGGGGGCCCGAGCATTTTCACGAACTTGGCTAACTGAGAATGGAGTCTGATACGATCTGGGATGTTAAATGCTTGCAACGTATATTCATTCAGTGTGTAGTTAAGGAGAGCTTACAGTACAACAGTGGATGAACGATCTAATGCTTCCCATCTTCTGGTTTTAGAAATAATGTAAACACCTTTTGTGTCATGCATCATGGATGCCACTGGGCATCAAGAAATGTCAGCCTAAATAATTGAACATCTGACTCATTTTGGGTTGGTTGAAATTCAACCCTTGAGGAAAAAAAGTCATAGGTTTTGTGCCCCTATGAATGTGAAAACAGAAAAGAGAAACAGTGTGATTCAAGGTTAAAGTTCATATGAAAAGGAGCCCTAATATCCCAATTGTACAAGTAAAAAGACTTGTTATCGTGTGAGTTGTGGGATGAGAGTAGCACCTGTTGATTTAAATTGCACCAAATGATATCATTCTCAATGACCTTTCTTGAGACAAGTTTTCCTTGGCCACTCCGTGTAAACTAGAACCCCCTCCTCCTCACCTTCAGTTCTCTTACTCAGGCTTTAATTTTCTTCATAACAGTTAAGTGTTCCCAGTCATCCGATGATATCTTTATTCTCTGAATGTCTATCTTCCCTAAACTAATTCTACTGGATTTGTCTTCATAGGAAATATAAGTTCCCTAAAGGGAACTTATATTTGTACAGGATGTCGTACATGCTCAATAAACACGAGTTTACTAAATCCTGAGTTACAAAGCTTTAGTTAAAAGGCAAGGCCTTTTGTCTATTCGCTCTCATTTCATAATGAGATGAGACTTTAAAGGGAGTCTCAATAAGTTTCCTTTAAAACCTATGCAATTGAATGCCGAATAGAACAGTGTCATGAAACTGTCACAGGATAACTGAGGTAGGGAATCCATGCAACTTCCCTTGACAGACTACAGGTTGGCTGAAATTGGGCATTAATATATTCTTAGCTAAATCATTCAGAGTTATATTGGTCAACATATATATTTAATGTTTCTTATTTATTTTGGAGTATCTGCTTTCTAGACTTATATATAACAGCAATTTTGTGTTAAAAATATTCTTTATTTCTAATCAACTTGTAGTGCCAAAGTAGTAACAGTGTGATTCCCCCCCTTGATATAGAGTCAGTTATCGAACAGCTTATCGACACGGGGAAAAAACGATGTATCGACGCAAATCCCAGTGCTGTCCCGGATTTTATGAAAGCAGGGAGATGTGTGTCCGTAAGTAAGACTTTTTCTTTAGCATTGGAGGTTCACTTGTCTTGCCCAGTGTTGGTTTGCCTCTGGTAAGGGCAGCACCTGGAGATAGAGGTCTGGGGAGATAAATTGGCATGTTGGAGCATCACTCTCTGCTCCCGCGTCCTTGACCAGCGTCATGAGGGAGTCTTCACTCTGTTCTCCGATCTTACCAAGAAATCACCAAGTGACTCCTTGAGGAGAAAGCTGGTGCTCCCGAAGATGACTCATGGTCCGATGTGACAATGATAATGGTACTTCTTTATAAATGTTGAGTGGAAAATTGTCCAGGAGATGTCGGATGCAGAAGAGAACAGAAAACTGATTTGGGTGAACTCCTGAGAGGGGATCATGTTCTTTTCTTGGGCAGAGAATGATGGAATTGTCTAAAAAGAGAGTTTTCTTGTTTTAAAAAAGATGGCTGCAAGCTTGGGTCATAAGGTAGACCTTCTTTTTCATTCTCATTCCCTTCTTTCCTCCTCTCCTCCTCTCACCAATTGCTTCTGCGATGTCTGGGGAAAAATATACTGTATGACACAATTCAGAATATTTTGGACTACTACGTGGGATGCTATTTTTAATTGAGGTTCTTTACTATTATGTAGAGGATTCCTGAAGAATAATCATTTAAAAATATTTTATTCAAGTATTTTGGTTCAGCACACAGGTAAAGCGCATATTTGCTTTCCCTGTCAGGACATCAGGGTTGAGTAGCACAAATTCGGAGGCACCAGGAATGAGAGAAGGCTTTAAGAATCTGCGGAGTCAGATTGGCGCTGGCAATCCCAGCTGAGTAACCTCAGATCAGTCATGTATCTTTCTTTGAGCTTCCTTTGCTCGCATGTCGAGAAAGGGCTTGGACCAGTATATGTCTCATCTTCCTTCCAATCCCTGGATTCTATTCTTGATGTAGACAGGGACATTTGCTCATCTTTGATTCACAACCAAGCCCATATAGCATAATAAATGCTCATTGACAAACAAGAAACATAACTGAGCATGAAGAAGATAAAAATACATTGTGAATTTTTTTCTGGTCAGTATATTACAAATGCCAGTATAAATGGTATTATAGCTATAATCTGACCGATTGCAATTGCTGAACACTTTCCCCCCAATTTCCCCATTGCAAACAACTCTGAAAGATAGCACTGTGGCTAAATCTTCACATTTTAAATGAAGAGGTCAGGGTCAGTTTTTAAAAGGGAGAATCGTTGGGTCAGAAGGTGTGCATATTTTAAGGACTTTGGGTGAGTTTCCAATTTATGCACACCTCAGCAGTTTATGAGACTGCCCTTTTTGCTTAGACCCATTGCCAATTTTCCCTTGGCTAATATTTTTGTAATTTGCTTTTCTTTGATTAATTATGATGCTGAATAAGAAAAATTACGTGTTTATAATCAAACATCTTAGAGAATAATCATGAACTATTCCCTGTGGCCAGGCCGACGGGAACGTTTCAAAGAGAGGAAAAGTGAAAACCCAGTGGCGAGTGGATACTGGTGGGTCGGGAGGACTGGCTGGCTGCACAAGCCGCTTCCCAGAGGGCTCGAGGAGCCATTATCTCCATTACCTCATGTTCAGCCTTCAGGCATTGTTTGTCATCGCATTGAGAGTGTTCCTATCTCCAGGACACATTTCTATGCACCCACATTGCAGGATTTCGGTATCAAGGCAGATTCCTTGGGTTATGCAGTTAAGTATTTGACTACTAGCCGAGAGACTGGTGGTTCAAATCCAAGTACAAGCAGCTTGGATCTGGTGATCTGCTTCTGACAAGGCACAGCCTTGAAACCCTTCTGGTCTACCCGCATGGGCCGGAATCCACAGACAACAGCGTCAAACCACAGCAGCACGCATAAGCGTCAAACCAGACTCACTGCCAGCAAGGTGATTGCGACTCCTAGCCACCCCAGAGAACAGGATAGAACTGTCCACGTGCGTTTCTGAGACTGCAGCTCTTTCCGGGAGGAGAAAGCTTCCTGGGCTGATTCACTAACTGACACACTTCCTGCAGAGATACGTGGGCCTTTGTGACGTTTAGCCTATCTTCCTACCATGAAGGCCCAGGATGTGGGAAGCCAGACTTGCCTGGCAAGCTTTTGTGGGGAATGTGGTTCAAGCCACGTCCATTAGGAAGAGGCCTCAGGATTTGATGCCACCAGCCTCCCCTCGCCCAATACCCCTGTCATTTTATTCAAGAGCCCAGCCTCTCTCAAAAGGTTGGAACATTCACAGCAGACACGTTGTAAAGCATCCTGTGAACTGCTCCCATGAGCACATTTGTCATGAGGTCTGGATGTGGCTCAACTTCTTTGTGCCCACTACTAACCTGAAGGTGCTCGCTGCTAACCTGAAGGTTAGTGGTTTGAACCCACCCAGTGGTACCCCATAAGAAATGTCCTGGCAGTCTTCTTCCAGGTTACATCCATGAAGCAATTCTACTCCGTAACCTGTGGGGCCACCATAGCAACTACCAGCAACCACATTTTCTTCTGAAGTTCTGGTTTTCTGAGACTTCTTGACTGACCAACTGCCCCTGGGCATGGGCGTTTTCCTTTAGATATGCTAATAGATTTAATCAGTTTACTACCATGTTTCCAGTTCCAGGAGCTATTTGGTTTCTAAGGTTACTTTACATCTCTCTGCTCAGTTCTTGACTTCCGAGCTGGACTCCCAGAGGACACATGGAGCATCCCCTTGGTCCTCATTCTTGGAGAATGCTCTGAAGTTACTCTCATGCACTGTAGACAGCTGGCACTCCTGAGGCACCATTGTGGCTAGAGAAGGAAGGAGCAGACACGATTCTTGGCTCTGAATCACGTTTTCAGCCAGGTTTGGCTGCCCGGCAGGTGGCACAGGCACTGTTGTTAACTGTTTCTTGTTACTAAAAGGAATTGAATCACAGGACTCGGTTAAGATTTTAGTTTAATTATTAGCAGTCAGTTTATTGGGGAAACAAGCAATAATAGCAGTTCTATGCATATGTGTGTGTGTGTATATATCAATATATATATACACATACATACATATATACTTTATTTTATGTAGTTGAAGTAGCTCCTTCTAGAGAGGATGTTCCACTTTTCTACCCCATCCTGCCCTGCCCCCTACCCTGTCGATCACCCTATAGATCAGTGTTTCCTAAAGTGGGAGATACTCCCCCCTCCCCCCGGGGATGGAGGCACTGGAACAATCCACTGGCCCTGCAAAAGTATATACTTTCACTTTATCCAAAGGGGCCTTGGTGGCTTAGTAGGCTGTGCACTGAGCTGTTAGCCACAAGGCCTGTAGTTGGAACTCCCCCTCAGCTCTGTGGGAGAAAGGGGAGGCTGCCTGCTCCCATAAAGATTCAGTCTCAGAAACCCAAAGGGCTGGTCTGTCCTGTCCAACAAGGTTATTATGAGTCAGAATCAACTCAATGAGAAACTTTATCCTGGATTATGGACTATAGTACAAAGGATTTTACTTGCAAGGGTAGTGGTCTAACTGTTTGTTTCTTTCTGATAAAGGGTTCGGGAATGTATGTGTGATTTTTCACGCACAGCGACCCTTGACTTATTTCACCCTCCGTTCACAGCCCTTAAAGGTTTCCTGTGGGGATCTGACTGCCTGTCTCACTGGCCACTTAATAGCAATATATACTTCTGATTCTCCCAGATTTAGAGATGAAAACACTTGATAAATACTAAAAGTAGCGCTGCATCAGAAATCCCCAAGGAGGTGCGCCAGAAAGCATCATTTTCTACAGGTGTCAGACAAATGTCTGCAGAGTTTGTCTACTGTGGTTGGGCAAGCAAAACTGAACAACTTTTATAGAAGCAGAAAGCCTCATCTTTCTCTTGAGGAGCAGCTGGTGGTTTTGAACTGCTGACCTTGTGTTTACCAGCTCAACATGTCATCCCAAACACCACCAGGGCTCCTCACTTCACATGGCTTCCATAAACTGCAAGGCCATCTTCAGCCATCAGGATTCTGAGATCCAGCATGAAAAACAATTTCTGTGGAACAGACGAATGGATACTAAGGAGATAGTCGGAGCCACATTTTTAGGCATTTTGATACAGATTGCCAAATTGCTGTCCTGAGGAATTGTGACAATTTATATGCCTCACTCCTTGCAGCCACTCTGTCTTGCTGTATTTCATATCTCCTTACTTCCTAGTGGTTTTGTAGTGTAAAATGCTGTTTTTATTAACCATTTGCATTTTGGCATTAAGAACAAGAGCTGGATTTAAGGTGAAGGAACACTGTTTTCTTCCTTAGAGAGCCAAGGAAACACTGGCTAGAAACAACAGGTAGCAGTGGAAAGACAAAAAGGCTAATCGCAGGCCTTCTTCAGGAGATAGTCTGAGATGGAAATGCCTAACAAATAGCTCCAGGATTAAACTTGTAGGAGGGCCAGGCCCTGCACAGCCCCTTCCCCTCCCTGGCCTCATTGATGCCCACGCTATACTCAGTCTGAACTTCCACCAGATTCTCCTTTGCCAAGACCACAACTGTCTGCAACCCCAGTGTGGTTTGCCACCAGACTCTTCCTGCCTCCATGAAAGAGCCTTGGGAATCTTGATCCTTTGAGGTGAGAGGGGTTCTTGGCATCTCACCCTGTGAATGAACCAGTCACAGAGGAGGATTTGAGAGACCAGATCACCAGAGTATTCTCCCCTGTACATGAGCTTGTGAGGCCTGAAACCTTTTGTGGTACATGACCAGGGACCTAACCTTTATTTACAACATTATCCCTCAAGAAAATGTGTTTGGAGCAAAGTAGGACTCCTTTCCCAACACTTTTGGAAACTGACCTCTTGGCAAGTTGGTATTGCCCATAGAATTGGTGCCGGGAGGCTTGGAGAAGCTCACTGGAATAGCCCTAGAGAGAGCAGGAGAGTGAGAAGTTAGCAACTGTTTCTGAGGGCAGCATGGTAAGGCCAGAAAAGGCCGTGCATTTTCAGTGCCAGGTATCCTTGGTTTCACCTTGGCTGGTG